GAGTGAATGAAACAACCAGCAGATGTGGTATTTTTTTAATGGAAATCAGCGGTTGGATTTTAATTAATTATATACCAAGCTGGTATAGATCATTGTATTTTAAATATATAATTTATTTGCTTAAGATGAGCACTATGAAAAGGGGTCAAAGATAAGCTGGTACTCTAACATTCACTGGTACTCTAACATTCACGAGTGTTGTAAAATATCAAAATGAAGTATATGTGTGCCTAAAAAAATATTAGACCTAACTCTTTAAAGTTTATCTACATACTAAATTTAATTATATTAAACCTAACTCCCTTAAGTTTAGTTACATGTCAAACTCATGTATATTTGTCAAACTCATGCATATTTGGATCTAGTAAGATGTCAAACTCAATATTTTTGAATTTAGAATCCTTACACCACACACACACACACATAGTTGATGGACTTTATAGGCTTCATATAGAGTCAAAGGGCATCCCTATAACTCTTAACACACAATATTAAGAACTTATGATAGTTATTTCTCTACATCACTAAGTGTATAAAAATTCTCGAATAGTTGATTATATTTCAATCAACATTAATGTTACGAAAGGATTATTATTCCTATAGGTCTATTTTTTTCTCATCAATATTAATATTGTGTAAGGTTAATTTCTATTAACGTAAATGTAATGATGTGTATGAGGCATTATCTATGTGTTGTAAGATAGATTTTTGCATGTAAATTAGATTAAAAAAAGGTTTTCCTGAATACAAAATATATATTATTTTAGTTAATGTTGTGTAAGGGTAATTTCTATTAACATAAATGTAATGTTGTGTATTAGACATTCTATATGTGTTTTATTAAAACTACTATGAGATAGATTTTTACATATAAATTAGATTAAAAATAGGTCTTCATGAATGAAAAATATATTATTTTAGCTTGTTTGAAACACCTATATACGAATCTCAATGTAAATAGTAGAAACTATTTGATTAATCAAATAATTTTTTTGTGTGATTAAATAAAAAAATAGAAACTACAACAATCCCAAACAATCTCTTAATTTAATGGCTAAAAAGTTTAATATATTTATATAAATATGGCTCTTGTTTTTAAACATTGATGTAGCCATCTCCTGTAAATCATACCTAGCAATATATGTCTACTAAATTTTAATTTGAGCACTACTTAGGTTCATTAAACACCTTTTGTTTTATATTTGAATGCTCCTAGAATAATAATAAAAAAGTGATAGGGTGCAGCTCTAATGAGTTGTCCAGGAAGGAGGTTCCTTTTGAATAAAATGTATTGGTCTATGTTTTAGGTTCCTAGTCCAGTCCACTCATATTTTCATGCAAAATATCTTTTCCTGGAAAATATTTTTACATTCCTAGTGTTTTGGCTGAAACCATAAAATATATGATCGATTGTGATATTATTCACTTAATTACTTAAAGAAAAAAAAGACAACGAAAAATATAGCTTTCTTGATTTTGATTCTATTAATGTTATCATCGGTTATTATCATTGTTTCTTACTTCTCTTACACTATATTTACTATAAAGAAATTCATCATAAACACTATAGTATTTTGAACATCCAAACATGTTTTATGGTTTAATTTTAGTAAGTTGTTTGACAAAGACAGCAAATAGTGCTATGTTTACTATAAAGGCATAAATTATAACTGAAAAAAGAATGAATGAATCTAACTATATCAAATTATATGCTATTTACCTGTCTAAAATTAAACTGAGGATAATTTTTTTTAGTTTAAAAGACATCTTATTTAAATCCTAACACGTTTAGGTTTAAGGTAATCAAAATTCTCTATAAGAAGGGACTGAAAAATAATGTTTAAGATTGTAAATTCTGCATTGTATTGACAATTTTCTGCACTTTATTTTTCAATATTTTTTCTGGCTTTAAAACTCTGTTTTCTCTCTAAATTTCCTTATAATCTAAAAGTTAGGTTTATTGAGTATTATTTTCTTGATTCATTAGACTAAGCAAATTGTGTTGTTGGAATTCCAAGAAGTTTAGTGAAGAAAGTCATGTTGCACCAAATGAGAAGTGAGAAAACTTTAAGAATAAAAACATAATCATTGACAACATGAAAACTTTATAAATTTTAAAGTTTTTCAACAAATAATTACATTTTTTATTTATGTTTTAACATTTATTAAAATATATTGTATGATTAGTATGCATGTTAGAAATTTTTTTATATCAATTATAAGTTTAATATATGTTTAATGTGCATTGTAGAATATATATAGATCTTTTTTTGTCATGATTGCAAGTTACTATATTCTAATTAAATTGCATATTTACAAACTAAATATATTTTTATCACTTGTCCAGTTTTATTTGTCAATCTTCAACAACAATTAATTGCTCACAAATGAATCAACCAGGCATTGTGAGCTTGTGTCGTGCTGTCCTCGTTATTCACGTGATGAGGCTCTAAGTGGTTAGGCTTTCAGATTGTTTCATGCTGACGTTTCGGGTTGGCCCAGAAGCGTTTTGGTTTGGCATCTGTTTGTAGTAACTTGGATACAGATATTGCTAGTGTCCCAATGTGTTGACTGTCGAATGCATGCTTTATTGCTTTCGTGTTCTTTCTGCCAAGATCTTTCTTTCTTCTCTTTCCTCTCCCTTCCTGATTCGAAGCCAGAACAACTTTTGAAATATAGCATTATTGGTTCCTTAGGAGTCTCTCCCACCTATAGACCTGGTCTAGGCAACATTTTATTAACCCCATATGGTTAGCCCTGTTCCAGTGGTAAGAGCCTATTAGTTTGCTCATCATAATCTGAAGCTTTGGAGTTAAGGCCGAGGTCCAGGGACAAAAAGCCCGTCTTACCTGCAGGTTCTGCTACCCAAACCACGAAACACGCAGCCAGCAGCCAGTTGCTTTATTGATTTTGTAGATGCCTTTTGCCCTTGGTCAGATTGTCTGTAAATAGTAAATACCCAAGATCCTTCTCTTTCGCGTGTTCTTTTCTTGTTCTTCTTTTTTTGGCATTTTCCTTTTTATATTAAAAAAGGGGGAAATCTTTACTGAATTTTTCCAAAACCTGTTTTTAGTAAACAACTGAATCTTCTCCTATTCCCATGCAAAGAAGAATCATGATGCATTTGAAGAATTTATTGCTGCAAGTTCGAAAGCAACCCTGTACCTGGACTTCTACATTTCCGGTAATGGAAGAAGGAAAACAAGGACTGCAATCACTCGTGTGATGCAGGTGTGCCATGGCGGATGAGGATCATCCTCCAAGCGGTCTCTGAACATGGTTTTGAAAATTGGGATGTAAGGCTGACACTGTAGGATATTCAAGACATTTTCTTCAAAGTTCTAAAGACAATTTCTCATACAAACAATTAAAGCAGCAAATGTATATCAGGATGGGCAGTAATCAATCCTCTCCCTTTTGGTCCGCTCACAAGAGGCACAGATCACACTTCTTCATTATACATGATAATTTAAAGACCAAAGGCAATGGGAAAGAAGCCCTCCCTATCACACATGGCAGCACATTAACCCATTGCATACTTCTGGGTCCAGCTCCTTGCAGTTGTCTCGTATTTGCTCCTGTCAGTCTTGTACATGTGGGCAATCTCAGGCACCAGAGGGTCATCGGGATTTGGATCCGTCAATAAAGAACAAATCGAAAGCAACACCTGAAAACATATGAATGAGAAACTTTCTCCTTTTGCATAGCATAATCAAATCAACCACAACTTGCAGAAAATATGAGTGCTAAATATGAATACAGCAGCACATCAGCGTATAATTTCAAGAGATTGTGAATTATGATGCCATCAGGCCGTGCACTGACTGCTCCAATGTCCCAAGCAAATATCTAAAACTATAGAAAGAAAACAAGGAATTGGAGAAAGAATCCGCAACCATGATGGAATCATCTACAGAACTAAAGACCACAAACAGACCACAAACTTCAGGGAAACCCTTCTTGCATTTGACAAATGTGCACAGCGAACAGATTTTAGAACTTTTATTTCAACTTAAAAATGGGAATAACAGCTAGTAAAAATCTTACATTTACACCTATTTGTTTGCTGAAAAATAGTTTTTTATGGAAAATAAATTTCTGGAAAGCAGATTATTTTTTTATATTAGGCAATATCTTGAAAAATAAATTGGAATTGGCTATGCTATGAAAAATAATCTGGAAAATAATTAATAATCTTTTTTTTTAATTTATCTAATACATATACATATATATAGCATTGGATGTAACTACCTTATCACTTACAATAAAAAAATTGAGATATAAAAAGTATAATTATGGGGAAAAAAAGGATTTATTACATCATATTTATATATAGCTTATTTTATAAAATATAAATATACATATAATATAAATATTTTAAATATAATATTATAGACATATAACATTGTTAAATATTTTTTAAGTAAATTTCATTTTTAAAACCTCAAAATATTTTTTTTAAATTAATGACAAAGCCAAATTACTTAAATATTATTGCTGGAGAGTAGATATTTGGGTTTTTTTAGTACGAAAACAAGTGAGATTTGTGTAAGGTGTTATGCGTGTAAAGACCAGGAAAGTGTTTTCCGGAATTAAAAAGAGAAAAACACTTTCCTTGTGGGAAAGGTTTATTTTTGCTTTTGTTGGTAAACTACTTTCCTGGGAAGTAGTTTCTTAGTGCTCACCAAACATGGGAAAGCTTGGAAACTTGAAAAAAGGCCTTACAATTTTAAAAATTTTATAATGTGTTCAGACTCTCATGCAAATCAAATGACTGTATCACTCCTCTGCACTCTAGATAACATTTAAAGACAAAAAGGAATCACGAATGTGACCTCAAAAAGATTGGAGTCTAACAGCAGACTTTGTAGCATGTGATCAATTTCATGACTACATAAATTATTTTCTGATGGTGCATTTATATAGGACGTGACAATCAAAACATTAACACAAGCAAGCAAAACAAATTTTCCATGTAAATGCAGTAAAACAAATTTTCCATGTAAATGCAGCAAAACTCAGAAGAGTATTTTTCCTTATTTTGCTCAGTATATCTTTTTTTTAGCACAAAAGTATTAGGCATTATTCTATCAGACAGCCTATCTGCAAAATAACAACCTTGGATATGGTAAGGGCAGGGCTCCACTGCTCTTTCAAGATATCAAGGCAAATGCTACCGTTGCTGTTGATATTCGGATGAAAGACCTTTGTCCTGAATGCAACCTGCAAGAACATCCAAGAGAATGGCAACACAGTAAGTAAAATAGAACTATAAGAAAATAAACTCACCTGTTTTATGAAAGCTTCTCAAAATGTAAACCCAAACGATGATAACCAATGAAGCCACTTCAAAGACAGATCAAAGAAGAATGAGAAACCTCTCACTGGTTATTAGAATTTGATACCAGGAGATTCCAAATTTTATGAGGTGAAGCACAGAGTGCCCACAAATGCACTGATTGTTTGCTCTTCATACAGATATTATAGTATCCTTCTATTCGTCTGCATTGAGTACTGCTCACGGCCATTAAGATTAACAAGAATAATATCTCCCTTGAATTCCCAATAAAAAAAAAGAATAAAAATCTTCCAATAACAATTTTTTTAGAAATGTAGAACATCTCCCAGACTGTGGACATGACTCTCTCTCCAGGCAGAAGTTCTCGAGCTCCTATTATCTGTTTTGGCAATGGTTTCAGTATAGGCCTCAGTGAAAAGAAAATACTCATCTCCAAAGGAAAGGCAGCAGCATGGTTGGGGCAGACAAGAGAAAAATCCTTCAAACTAAACCCTTGTTTTGATGCCAGCAGATGCTCTTCATAAGTCCACAGTTGGAATCTTTTGGAACTGATAAGCAAAAATTCCACAAAATGGTATTCTTGAAGGTCCGCATGAATACAGTTTAGCTATGAATGTTCCTAACAACCAAGGAGCACCAGTTAATGCAATTGCGGTCACAACTCTAAACCATAACCACCAGTTTTAAGTTGGGTATGATGTCTATGCAGAGCGCTGCAGCAACAGGCGTATCAGCTTACACATAACATTTCAAGATGAACTCCAGATATGTTTTCCTAGATGGAAAACAAAATCCTGCTATCTTTCTTAATGACTCAGGTATAATATTCATGCAATATACCCAATATCTGAAAGTACCATTATTTTGAGTGTCTAATCAAATGATGGTAGTGTTGAAAGGAAATGACAAACTAGGGAAGAACAAATGAACAAGCAATGTGATGATGACATTGTTAAAGTGAATCAAGTACCTTGGGAGGTTTAAATGGATAGTCTGGAGGAAAATGAATTGTGACTAGAAAGACTCCTCCTGCATACGGACTATCAGGAGGACCCATTATCGTAGCTTGCCAATGGAACATGTCTTCAGCAACGGGGCCTGAAGATGCATATCAACCAAAGCAGAGAAATAAGAACAATTTTGTTCTAAAACTAGCAAAAAAAACACCGGTTTGGAGGTTATTCATAATAAACCAGAAACAAAGAAAAGCAAAAGAAGCAGATAGAAGTGCAATGTTTGCAGCATAAAAAGAATTGATGTGCGTTTGTGGGCAGAGCTTTTTACTTGCCCTTATAGCTACTCCATAGATTTCGAACGAAGAATTATCAAAGGTCCCTAAAGAAAAATTCTTAAATTTTGAGATTTAACAAGATTTAGTACCATAAAAATTTAAAGGAAACAGTAGAAGAAACACTGCAGATTGAGGCTCGGCCATAAAAAAACAGAAGAAGACAATGGTCCATGATTCATATAGCTCGGTGTATAGGTATAGAGCTCAGAACATCCTTATCTTATTAGCACAGATATAAAGACCGATTTCGTGAAGCTAAAACTCCATTTAAACAAAATAACCAAACGATCACAACTCTCGAAAAATAAATAACCTTTTTTCTTTCAAAACCAGGATACATCATACATGTAAACAATAACTTATGAGACCTTGTTTTATCAGAAAAAAAAACGCTAAATATTTCCATAAATTCCAAAAATCAAAACATTTACATATAAAGGCAGCTCCTTTCTTGCACAAATGAAAACGAAAAAGAAAACCCAGAAATAAAAAGCGATTAGATCTCGATTTGAACCTGCGCTGCAAGAAGTAGGAGGGTCTTTCTGGAGATCCTTGAGTTCTTTCAAGATCCGTTTCGATGCCATCACTCAACAAAATCTCCCTGTAAATTCACACCAGATCTTTCAATCAATCAAAACTTAAAAATACCATACCACAGTTGCATGTGATCAAAGATAGAACGCGGAGTACCTGGGAGATCCTCCTTGTTATTATTATTGACCGGAGATTCTTTGAAATGGGAAAATGAGATGAGAGAGAGATAGAGAGAGATTTCAGTTTTAAATGACCAGAGAGTCATTGGATGATGGTGGTGTTGATGCTAGTGTGTATTGTCTTGCTTGGGATTGGTTGATTCCCTTATGTGGGACCGAGTGGTTTTTTGAGATAGACTCTTTTAAATCCTTGGTGTTCATGTAAATTACAGGCCTGTCTCTCAAGTTTTTTCTGTCCTTTTTCCTTTCCTTTTTGTTTTAATCCCTCTACTTGAATTCTGGGCACCCTTTACCCTTACAAGTATTAATAATAATATGATAAAAGAAATCAAACAATTAAAAATGAGAGAAAAAAAAATATTTATAAATCCAACGGTCCCTTTATCTGCTAACTTAGGTGACTGGCGAGCTGGTAGATTAAAAATCACACAATAATTTGAAGGGTGAAGGGCGGCGGTAGCAATTTCCAAAACTAGACTATAAGGATTAGAATGCTAGAACAAACAGAATTGAGGGATGAGAATGTAATTCACTGAACGCGGTTTCAATGGTTGATGTGTCTTTTCCACGCGTTTAATGTTTCGAAGTTCCAAGTGGTCGAGGTCGGAGACGGGGAAGTTATTAAACGACGTCATCTGGTTGTTTCTGATAGCATGCATAGTGTAAGGTACAAGCAATGATTGCTATCAGATCACATCCTGATTTCTTTTATTGATATAATTGTAAACTTGTTGCTATTAATTAAATTGAATTCAAATTAAAAAGGAAAAAAAAAAACGGTGGGGTTGGATGATAGCCAAGATGAGCTAATCCAAGTATATCTTAGTATTATTTTGTATTTTTAAATTAGTTTTTAAAAAAAATTACTTTTAATATTAAATTATAAATTAAACTTTATAATTTATTTTGATTTATTTTATATTGAGTTATTACGATCTCATAATTTAAGTTACGTGTTTGGCAAGTTAACATGCGTTGACTCGGGTTAATTTTCTGGTTTTTTAATTAATTCTTTTTAATTTCATTATTCAACATTAGATTTAAACTAGACTTCATTATTTGTTTTGATTTATTTTTTATGAGAATATTATAGTTTTATGACACGATATATAGATTGATAAGTTAACATAAAATGATCATAATTGATCCAATATGTCATCGTTTTAGTATTTATATAAACTAAATATAATTTTGAATATTTATTTCAAGTTAAATTATATTATAAATATAATCTTGAATATTTATTTCGAGTTAAACTATATTTTTTTTTGTTATTCTAGTTATATTTGGACTTATCTAGTTAATTAATTCATTTTCGGTTATTCTAGTTGTATTTGGACTTATCTAGTTAATTAATTCATATCAAGTCAATTCTTATATATTTTAATTTTTTTATATACATAAAAAACATATTAAAAATACCTAAACATTATTTTTACATATATAAAAACAAAGATACAATTCGCAGTGTAGTTGAAGCCAACAATCTAGTTTATCCTCTATAACTTGTTGTGTTTTTTAGTAAATACAGGCTAAAAGGATGAAAAATAAAAAGAGAATAACTGTAAAAATATCGAGAGTAAATGAGAAAAGGACAAAAGGTAACGATTCGCATAATGCAATTATTGGAATTGAAAAATGATTAGATATTTGATTACGGGTAAGATATTTTTTAAAAAAAATAAAAGAAATTATATATAATTTTTTTAATATATTTATATGATAAATCAAGAATTATATATGTTGATAAAAAATAAAAATAAAAACTCAAGAAAGAGATATAAATCAAAATACTTAATCTTGCAAATTAGGACATTTAGCTAGTTGTATTTCTAAAATAATTTATTAAAATAATTTTTTTATTTAGGCATAAAAAAATAAAAATAGAAACATGAGTTAAATTAATTGAAAAAAATAAAAGAAAAAAGCAATATTATACAAGGTTGTATATACTACAAATATTTATTGAAAATAATATTTTTTTACTTTTAAGAATAAAGTTCATCTATAAAAAAGATAAAAAAAAATGTAAATTAATTAGAAAAACTCTTCAAAATTTAAACATATAATAAAAATAATTAAAAGAGGTTTTCTAAATAAAATGAAAAATAAAATGGATATTAATCTAACTATAAAGAAAAAATTAGAGAAAAAAATACTTGTAAAAAAAAAAGCACTAGTTTTAAAAGGTAATACCTATAAAAAAAAAAGCACTAGTTTTAAAAGGTACTTACAAAAAAATAAAATAAGCAATGGTTAGGTGTTGTTGAGTCTAGCAAGCTAGGCCAACCTACCTGATTCATTTTGTTAAAGCTTACGTGATATGACCTTTATTTTTTTGAATTGCAACTGAAGTGTATATTATTCTATCATCTATAATTTTTATGTTGGAAACAAAAGGAATTAAATGACGCATCATCTGATTTGCCTAGAAAATGGTTAGAAAATTAAGGTTTTTATTTTTCAACCTTTTCTTACCCAAGACATCTTAGTAATCATGATAAATCTATCATGGTCTTAAACAAAAAAAAAACCTAAAAAACAAAATCAACACACAATTAAAAATGAAATTGATCTCATATCTGTTTTTTCATGGACTTTAAAGGTAAAAAAAATATCTAATATAAAAAATTGATCTCATATCTGATTTTTCTTGAACTTTAAAGGTAAAAAAAATATCTAATATAGACTTTTCTTGTCAAATAGAATCATTTGACATAAATATTGATAATTATGATAGTTTAAATTAGTGTTAATAATATTTTTTTCTCTTTACTACCATAATTTAGTGACCTCTTTTGATTAGGAGCTAAAAATAATAAAAATAAATTTGTTGTTAGATGACCAGAATATATATCTCTTAAAACTTTTGACATATCATCAACCAAAATAAATTTTCTAATACCAAAATAATTTTTTTAAAGTGAACAAGGCCATCCAGAATGTTATCTTCATTTAAAAAAAATCATGCAGTCCAAGTCAACTACAATCATTCTATTTTATTTAAATTTCTACTTTATGAAAGATGATCATTTTCAGTTTAAATATCTAATTTTTTCTTATTTATTTGATATTTCATTATATTATTTAAGTTTTAGTTATCTTGATCTCCCGTTTCCTTTTTTTTTTTCTCACTACCTAATCTTTATACACGCGTGTGTGTATAATTTTATAAAACATGCAATACAATAACAAAATACGCGAAGGTGTTGGAAATTATGAAACAATCATAAATTGATTGATTTGCATTGATTTTTTTTATAAATTTTTGTTTTTTTTTAATATATTAAAAAACCAAAGGTCAAAATGGGTTATGATGGTTGATATGTTTGTGTGATGCTTCTTAGAATATATTTTTGTTTAATTTTATAATAATTAAAATAAATATTTATAAGAAACTTGAATATTTAAATTATAAAGGAAAATCATCTTTCATATTCACATATTCTTTTTTATTTTGACTAATCATGTCTTTTTTTACCATCAATTTTTTTTTAAATAATAACATAAAGAAATTAAAATAAATACTTTAGAAGCAATCATCTTTTAAGTTAAATATAAAAATATACTTATTTAATAAATAACCTCTTATTTTATAACAAAAAATAAAATAAAATGAGAATGCCATAACCTTGTAAAAAGAAAAAAAATAAAAGCTTAATTACTAGCAAATTAAACACCGAAAGGATAAATTAATTAAAAAATTGAATTTCAAAAAAGGATAATAAGATTTGACTCAAGTCAGCATGTCAAATTTATGACCAGTTGTAAGATTAAGACAAACCATACAAAATAAATCAAATGAAACAACGAGTATCAACTCTTAAGCAAATTAAATAATGAAAGGCAAAACATAAAAAAATAGATAAAAAAATATCAGCAAAAATTTGAAATTAACTAGGTTAACTTGACAAAACAATAATTCATGATATAATAACAAGATAATTCCATTTAAAAGATGAAACTATAAAAAATAATAATTAAAAAACAAAAAAAAGAAAATGAAAGTATCATGCTATTTTTTGAAACCTCACAAGCTGGATCATGAGATCGGAATACCCCATATAACACAAGTCCAAAAAAATCACAAAGTAAATTTCTCAATTATATATAAAAAAATCAAATAAAACAATGAGGATGAAATTAAAAAATAAAATAAATAAATAAAAAGGATAAAAATAGCAACCAGACGAATAAGAACCAAATTTGATATCAAATTTTTTTTAAAGAGAGATTAAATTGAAAAATAAAATAAATCAAGGTAAGAAAAAAATACAAAAAAAATAGCAAAAAAAAAAATAAAGACCAAACATGGTAAATGAAAAAAATTAAAAGGGAATAAAATTGATAAAAAAATAATTTCATGAGTCGTTTCAAATATAAATAATAATAATTAAAATAATAAAAAATAAAATTTAAAAAAACAAATTAAATGACCGTTAAAAAAATACAAAAAAAATAGCAAAAAAAAAAATAAAGACCAAACATGGTAAATAAAAAAAATTAAATTTAAAAAAACAAATTAAATGACCGTTTTAAGAAAATACAAGGGCTATCATAGAAACTACGAGGAAGAAAAAAAATAAAAAGAAAAGAAAAGATTGTTGATGCTATTATGAAGGTTTTTAGGCCATATGTGCTGCTCTAGGATGGAGAAGTTGCTAGGAGGAATTGAATGAGATCTTAAAAGCCCGTTAGGTCATTGTAAGTGATAAGACGTCACTCGGACATTTAACACTTTCTTTATATTTATAAAAACACTAATTTGCCCCTATATATAGAAAACAAGGTGAAAAGGGAGAAAAAAAAACTGCTTTTAATGATTTTTTCTTTCAAATGTAATCTTGTTATTTTAGTGTCCTTAAGAAAAAAATGAATAAGCCACTAAGATTAGTTTTTTTTTTTTTGCTTTTAAGATAATGAAGTAATTTTATTATATTAACAAAATAAAAAGAAATAAAAAGATAAATTTAACTCAATCAAGTTGATAATCATTAATGTATCGTGTGAAAGAAGATGATTTAATATGTTTTTTTTTAAGAGAAAAGAAAAAACATAAATACATTATTCTAATCAATAATATTTTG